TGAAAAGGCCAAATTAAATCTGATCTGACCAACTCCAGCTGTCTCATCCCCTTCACCGTGACTGTCCGGGCTGTCGGGCAGAAAGGGGATCTGCCCCTCCACACCCACTGACAGAGCAAAAAGCCCTACGCACAAACATTTCAGCGGGGTCCGGACTCTCTTTGGCTACATTCCCTAGATTTTCAAGGACTGACCTCATTGTAGCCGCACAGCATACTTAGGATCATGTCTCCCATGCTAGAGAAACATTTTATTAACCTACATGCCTATTTTTTCTTTTCTTTTTTTTTTTTTTTGAGTAACACCCTGTGAAGCATGGCTGCTGATACAGGCTTGGTAGGGGTCCCGAGGAGTACGCTGATGAAACAGAAACTGTTGAGGAGACAGAGGAGAAATTTTTCAGTGCTAACCTTCAGAAGTCCAATTAACAAAGAGCTATCATTCAGCAATATTTAAAATCCAGAATTATAATCTTCCTCTAATTTCCAAAGGCACTTTGTATGTGTTAAGATCCATTTGTAAAATGCACTCACTCATACAATGAACTCTTTTCTCATACACAAAATTCAAAAGCCATTAAACATATTAACCAATTGTCACAATGTTAGAATACTTTACTCTCTCTTCTACTAATGCAAGCCTTGCAGCTCTCTGTGGAGACTCCTCTCAGCAAAGGTTGAAAGGACAGGCTTTGTGGTGAAGTCAGCCAAATCTTCCCATTTCTCTTGAACCAGGGCAGACAGCAAATTTTGGAGCTGATGCTCCCACTTCGACGGACAAACCCCAGACCTCCTCCGCTACACCAAAGGGCCTTCACTTACGCACATTTTTGACCTCAGCTGCTCTACTGCAACACAAGTCAAACACAATCTCTCTGAGACTTGTGACCCGGGAAGCTTTTTAAGTCAAAACCCATCATTTAATTGTACCAAAGAAACAACTGGAAAGCAGTCTGCTAGCGATGCTTTACAGAAGGAGCTGGCAACAAGTAATTGCAGCACTTGCACCAAGATTACTTTCTGAGGACTCTCGGCATGTAGTCTCAGCTGGAGGGCACTGCAATAACCCAGGACATGGATGACTGTGATTTGGTCCACATCAGAGTAGGAAAGAATTACGTGACTAAAAGCATAACACTATTAAAAAACAAGGAAATAGGGATTAAAAAAAGATACTTTTATGCTTCTGAATTCTTCACTTGTGCTTTTCTTGGGAAGATTCTCCACAGGTTAAAACAAGGCCAGACACACTCCTTCCTTGAGGCAGGATGTGCTATCTATTGCTTAAAATATGAATTGCTTGGCTAAGCTGAACAGGTTTAGGATGAACTCTTGGTCACCATGTAGTAGGTCTATGGCTTGCAGAAGCAGATGGGCCAAGTTGGGCATGCAAAGAAGGATCCAGGGGACTCTTGGCTACATGGTTTTCCCCAGCAACTGTTTTTTAAACAGAAAATAGACTGTGCTTTATCATTCAAATAACGCAGCCACTGTACCCAGCGTGAAACAGCTTTGTTCCAGCTCTCATTAAACTCAAAGCCAGACGTCCCTTGGAGCTCTCGAGACAGGGCTGGATGCGGTAAGCATGATGCACGTGTGTTGTGTATGGTCCACAAAACGCCTTTCAGGACAGCCTGCAGTATAAGCAAATAAAATTTATAGCTTTGAGCAACTATAGTTCGTAAGCTGCATTTATTACTTCTGTAATAGAGACTGAAGTTTGTTCCAGCTGACAAGCCAAAAGTGGAAATAAAGCAAAACAGACAACTTTCCAATGACGTGGTCAGGAGAGCTGACTTGAAGGAAACTTGAAAACAGACATCGCCCGAAGATGGGCCAGAACCCATTTCACCTCGGTATAGGTGGAAGCGGGGGGGCACCTCTTTCTTTTCGGCCAGAGCCACCTAAAAGAGAAAGAACATTTTTTGTGTTACTCCTCCTGGTTTCTTTTAAAGTGGGAGTTTACATCCAAGTCATTAATTCAGTTACTGGTGAAGATCTACTCATTTCGTGCCTAGCCATTTTACTAAAAAATCTTTGTAGAGTTTCTCGTTAGTTTATTAAACAACATCAGAATTTCAAACAGTGTAAAAGAAAGGCTTTAACTAACGCTATCCCCAAACGCTGAGAAAGCATATGTATTTTAGTCCTCTGTCCCTTTCTCACAACAGATTGATAGCTCGTTAGCCTCGCTGTTTTACACGAACACAAACCTTCTCAGTGCTACTCGCAACACATGCAAATGTGAGTGAAGTGGCAAGCTCTAAATACAGTAACAACCCAAAGCTCTTCATGTTTTTTCCCTATACAAAGATTTTCATTGTAAACTCATGCAAGAAAGCATAAAAAAAAGCGCATATATTACTTTGTCTTTCTTTGTGGAGTTATATGTCTAGGATGAAAGCTAACACGGCAAAGTGAAGGGTCAGAGACTAACAGGAATTTCTGCTCCAAACCAAAACCTCATCATTTGGAAACAGGAGAGAGGGAGAAACATCTGAGTGTACAGATGATTACAGCATAACTATGAGCCACTGATGTCACTGGTTGTGAAAGAAGTAAACTGATCCTTGGGTGTATCAGGCAAAACGCCACTAACAAAGATAGGAAACATTTATGCTGCTGTAGACAACATGGTTGAGACCTGAACTGGCACAGCCTGTAACACGGATTGGAAAAGACAAACTCAAATGGAAATGTATACAGAAGGAACCCTGATGATCAGGGAACATACCCTGGAAGCAGAGTCTAGTACATCCTGATTTAATAAGCCCCACAAACAAAAGCTGAGAGGAGGATATGACTATTGTCTTAAAAAATATTAGGGGTTTAACACACCAAGGAGGGAGGATAGCTAAATTCAGGGATGATGTTGGCACAAGAACAAATCAGTTGTGTGTGAACGTAGATGGGAAATGAGGAGGAAATCCTAGGGGATTTTGTGGTTCTGGCTGCCTGCCGCAGAAGGGGGCTGACTATAATGGCAGAGGTGGTCTCCTGCAATACAGGTTCCAACTTAAAAACCAAACAATTCCCCCCCTCAAACACAAGTTTAAAAGGGCTTGCGCCTGTGAACCTGCATTTAGCTTTTTCTGTGTGATGGGGCAGGGTGACCAGGCTGTTGGTCTGAGAAGTTCTGAAACCTCAGCATCGAGTCTCTTCCCCATCCACATTGTTTTTAGGACGATACGCTGAAATTCCAGAAGCAGAGGTGGAACAAACTTACCTCTACTTTCATTTCTTGCTAGTTTACTGGGATAACTTCTGTTCACTGGTACATATGGCTCTGGAGGTGGCAAATCAGATATAGGGTGAAAAGAAAATCTGCTTTCCCACTCATCTGAAAAAAATCCCACGTAATTTATTCATTAGTTTTGTGACACAGCTTCAGGAAAGTCAATTGACATGAACATAATTTTTAATACATTTTATACTGCAAAATGCTTACATAGCTGAGTATTGAACCAGCATCCTATTGTGAAGTTGGGGAAGAAGATGCTTTAGGTCAGTTTGCGAAAGAAAATTCTTATTAACTTTAACCGATCACTCAGCCAATTTAACACAAAATCACAGAAATCAGGAAAACGGCCATAATTCCACTGAAGCAAGTACTATGTTCCCTTTCATGTTTAATAGATCTGCTTTTTTATACACACAGATGCATACACATATATGTGTTACTGGAAATGCATAGTGTCTCCTGCCTCTCAACAGTATTTTTTTCCTGGGTATAGAATTTTCTGATATTCATTCTTCGTTGATGTAGAGAGCTCAAAAGCATCATCAAAAGCATACTGACTTAGAAGTGGTGTTTTTTCTTTCTTAATTTTTATACAGGAAAAAGAAAATCTGAGGCCATTATGATAACATTTGTGACAGAGAAATTCGTATGTAACAAGTGTCAAAAATGGAAAAATACATCAGTTGAAACTGTATCTCTTGAGACTGCAGGGGCCCTACTGATGTGCTCACTGAGTGCACAGAATTCTAAACAATAAAGTAAGCTGATCAGCTTCTTCACTGAAATCACAGGAAACATTTACAGAGCTCTGCTCTGCACTTGAGTTTAGAGGCCCAAGGAAGAAAGTGTGGGATATCTTGAATTTTGTCGTTTCTTCACTTGGTTGCTTCAGGACTTTGCAACCATAACTTTCTTGCAATATTGCCATATTTTATTGCATAACATAATGAACAGCTGAGTAAGTTTTGCCCAGCAGTCGTAGATGTGGTTATTTGCTGGGATCCAGTTTTTCTATGTTTACTCCCAATGGCTGCAATCAGAAACCAGCATGTGAAGGAGCTGCAGGTTCTGAACCCTGCAAATGACTTGTGCAGGAAAAAATGTATTTGTGACCCACCTGCCTTATCTGATCTGTGAAGACGCTTCAAATGTGTGAGTTACAGTTTTATTTTCTGCTTGCTTTTCCTAACCTTATAAATGTCAGAAATACCAATTTTGGCCTCCCATAACTGGCCGAAAGATTTATCCATCCTTTGCAAACAGAAAACAATTAAAAAGAAAAGCATGATCAATCTTTAAAACGCAGCAGTCTTGGACCTCACCTTTTCAATAAACACTAGGAAAAAGAGAGACACGTGACATTTTCAGCAGCGTTCTGACTATCTCTTCCCTCATCTGTTTCTCAGCTTTCAGCTTTTGAGTCATCATCCAACTTGTTCTGACTTCCAAAGAGTCTTAGCGTAGCTATGGTTTGAATTCATATTAGAGTCAGAACAACCCCCTTAGGCTGTATTTCTGTATTGTAGCAAAGCACAGCACGGTCAATAAGTTTGGGTTTTTTCAGGCTATTTTTGAGAGGGTTATTTTGGAGACTGCATTGACAGCTTCGCAGTTCTGCTCTATGTACGGCATATTTACTCCTTATTTGGCAGGGTTAATCGAGACCCAAATGACACCTCTATTGGTCAGAAATCAAAGGTCTGCACTCGCAACAAAGCCTCTATCCCAAAGTTTTTCTGATGTATTACGGCCAAAAGCCCCTACATGGTCTCTCTCAAAGGCAAACGACTGGGAGGACGGCTCACCATCGCCTCTGGGGGCCCCGCCCTGCCCGGAAGGTCCTCTGGTGAGTCGCGGGCAAAGCCCTGGAAGTGCTCCCGTTCCTGCTTATGGGAGGAGGTGGTGGCAGGGGGCCTGGAGCAAGACAAGAAGCAAGCACACAAACACCGTTTGCACCAGGGGTTATTCCTCCAGTGGCAAAGCCACTGCCCGTGTCCCACGGCCTCCCACCAACACACCGGAGAGGGTGGGCTGGTTTGGGACCCTCGGCCCTGAGGGGGAATCGCCCTCAGCACCCCCTTCCCTGCTCTCCAGAGCTCCCTAGGGAGTTGGTGCTGGTGTGAGGAGCAGAGGTCAGGGGAGCAGGGTACATCTAAGCATAAACACAGCTCAGTGCCCATATTCCCATCTCCTTCAGCTACAGAAGCCTCTGCAGAAGTCCTGCTGGTCCTTGTAGCCACTTTTAAACCACTCCAAGTTACGCTGGCCACATCGAACATAAGTTACAGCTGGAATTCACGGTACTGTGGAGGTCCAAGCCATAGCCCACTTCCTTCCCATGTACCATTGCAAGGCAAGAAGACACGTAGCAGGAGAGCTCTGCTACCCTCAAAGGCTCTCTGTCCATTGGGGTGGTCCGCTCCGGGTGTCACGGCCAGGGTCTGTGGTGGGGCACAGGGGAATTCAGCCCAGCAGCAGCAGCGGCAGGCAGCATGGCCTCAGCTCGCTCATTTATAAACACATATGCTGCGTGCCAGGTTTTTCGGTAATTGGAGCATATCCACCTCCCGCTAAACTGAAAACAGACCTCACACGTAGACTGGCACTCCCAGTGTCTGCACATCTAAGTAACTGGCGTGGTGTCACAACAGGTCAAGTACGAAGGCAGAGCCGACGTAACACAGGAGCAGGGCTGTCCTGAGGGTAGGAGAAGGGCGCTTCTCCACAAGGAGCTGGCGAATAAGGGCAAGAAAGCTGCTGCTGCCAGGGAGAGACGTACTCATGGTTAGGACAGGAGCAGACGATGAAGCAGAGGGTGTGGAGGGCTATGTGTGTTCAAAGGTCTCTCTACCTCTGTTTGGCACAGTTGGGCAACTGGCAATTATGTCCATTTTTATGAAATGTTTCCTTGTCCTGACGAAATCTGGCTACAGACGTGCATTTTGAAAAAGAGAGCAGCAAATACTGTGTCTCCAGCAACAAGCATTGAAATATGCTTCAAGAAACATGCTGTACTTGGTGGAGTTTCTTTTTTTTCTTTCTCTTTCTTTCCTTTTTTACAAATTACTAAAGTTTGCCTTCAGGGAATGGTTTCCAAGAATGAGAAACACTTAGCAACCTTCAGAAATGTTTTGCTTGCTCTCTCTCTAAACTCCATCATCTATACTGAATCGCTGCGGAACAGGAGAATTTACATTTATAATTTATTGATACAACTTCCTTTACATATTAAGCCAGCAGAAAGGTAGCACAGATTTGCTAAAACCATCTGCCTCAGAAAAGAGCCAACCAGGAAAGCACCGGTGGAAACAGAGGCCGTCACGGAAGAAGCTCTTGGAAGTGTCTGAATAATTGCAGACGCTCTCTGCAAATATGATCCATGCTCCCAGTCAAAGGTGACGAGATTTCTCTGGTTTGTTTACTGCAGGCTGCATTGCCATCGTGCCGTCCTTCAGGCTGGCAGCCAGCTCCACAAAGCACGGTTTCAGGGCCAGCGTTTGCTGTAGCTGCACGCCTGCTGCAGGTGCGATGCTACAGGCGATCCACGCTGGCTCAGGGAGCTGGAAAGCAACACAGACGGCTGTCGCCCATGGGAGCTCCTGTGACGTTCACTTCTACCGTCCAGAACCGCGCGGTTTCGAGAGGATTCCACATTTTTATTCCAAAGGATGAAGTGAAAGGCAACTCTATGGAGCTTCCCAGTGTTGCCTTCCGTGCAACGCTTCTCCCTTCCCGATGTTACAGGGCCTGGCTGTTGGTACCTCAATTCTCTCATCTCCAAGGGGAGAGCCATCGGGTATTAAGCAAGCTAAGTTACAATGTGCAATTCTCAAAAGTTATGAACAGCAGTTGTCACAGAGGACAAAGTATATTATGAAATAACTCAAAGGAGACAATTCTACTTTTCGTCTCATTTGAAATCTGCATATGGTAAGCAACAACAGTTACTCACGCTGTAACAACTGCCATTACATTTAACACCCGTTGGCTAGGTCTTTTATTAAAATAATTTGTATTTGTCTGTAAGTGTTCCCCATCTCCCAACACGTAGAAGGTCGGGTTCTGCAAACCTCCACTCACGAGAACGCCGCCATTACCTCACGCTGGCTGACTCAGGAAGGCAAATGCTGTCACCTACCAGAAGCCAGGTAAGGCAGCTTCTTCGCATCAAAGAACATCAGAATCACAGAATCATTAAGGTTGGAAAAGACCTCTGAGATCATCAAGTCCAACCGTCACCCCAACACCACCATGCCTGCTAAGCCATGTCCTGAAGGGCCACATCCACACGTTTTTTTAACGGCAGTAATTATAACGAACATTGCTGAGATCTGCAAAGGCACGCGTGAGCGGGCTGGTGATGGAGCGACTTCCCTCGCCCCGCCGCGACGCCCGCAGAGC